TGTGCAGAAGTTTCAGTCCACGATTGGCTAACTCTGTGACCTTTGGGCTGTGACAAGACAGAAGCATCCGGGAAGAAGGGTATGATAAGGAAGGAAACTATGGCACTCAGGAAGCAAAGACCAGGAAGGAGCAAGGGCCAAGACATACCCTTCGAAGGAGCATCCCAACCGACCCACTTTCCCTAACTAGTCCCCACTGCCCACAGTTCCACCATCTTCCAACTGTCTATTCAAATGCCTATCCATAATTAACAGATCAAACCACTGAGCAAGCCAGAGCCTTCACAGCCTATTCATTCCTAGACACATCATCTCAGACAGGACTAGACATGCACCCGTTTGGTTGCCGAGGCATCTCTCAATCTGATCAGGTTGACGATGAAGGTCACAATTTCCTGTGCCTTTGGTTAGTGGCCTTTATTTGTCCAGTGCTGGAGACTGAACAGAGAGCTTCATGCATGTTAGAAGGTCTCTACCAACAATAACTTTATTCCTAGGCTCAGGGGGTCCTTTAAAGCAAATGACGCTATGTCACAGAATTATGCAATTGACTTCAGTGCCCACTATGGGATCTTCTTAGGTTCCTGACCCATAACATTATAGTAGGTCACATTTGGTACCAGTAAACTTAAATGTAGCTTGCTGGTGGCCATGCTTTTTCATATGATACCATTTACTACATTCAGCACTGTCAACTGCTAGGCTTTACCTGTCTTCCTCCTGTTATGGGAAGTGATCATATAACTCATGCTGGTCATGATGATTGGTTCAGAACTGAGCATGTGATTCAAACAGGACCAAACAGAATTACTTGTGACACTCATATATGAACCTTCATAGGAAAGGTCTTTTGTCTTTGACTCAAATCCATAAGGCTTTAAACTGGAAGCTGTGAACAGACATCCTCCCACCATACCAAGGGCATACAAAGGACTAGCAGTAGTGAAATGACAGCCAATGGTTAAGGAAAAAAATATGCTGGATCCACTATGCCTGAAATCAGCAAGACACTCCCTCAAAGACCTCATTTATAAGTCAGCAAATTATCTTTATTTCTCAGTACAGATCAAGATAAGTTTCATTACTTAGAAAGAATTCTAATGTATATTTCTCAGTGTGGGAACTATAATTCTAATATATGTATATACTATGTGAAATATATGTATCAATCTGTGTTCTTTTTTCATTACTATGATACCAAAGGCAGGCTACTTTATGAAGTTAAAGAAGTTTATTTGGTTTATGGTCCTAGAAGGGTGAGGTCTAGGCCCACATCTGGGAAAGGCCTTCTTGCTGGCTGACACCAAAAATATCACAATTTACAAAGCAAGAGACAGAGGGAGTGTGTCTCCCTTTCATTATAAAGCCATCAGGTTTCAATCACAGAGTTTCCACCCTGGTGATCGCATCTAATCCTGATCCTTTCCCAGAGGTACCACCTCCTAACATCAGAGTTGGCTTAATGTCATTAACATATGACTCTGGGGATTAAACTCCTCATATGAGTTTGAAGCAGCTAATCACCTGTAAAACACAGCTAGGACAAATATTTCCCTAGAAGGATTAGAGGTCTATTCAATTTTAAAATAGCCTGTCTCTTTTTACCCTGGGTTGCTACAAAGCCTTACATTTTTATGTGGCTACACAGAGTGACAGAGGACCCACACCCAAAGAAAGCTTAAGAAAGACCGAGTTATCACAGACAATAAATCTTGCTTTCCAACAGAAGAGCTAAGTCTTCGAACTTTGGATGCCCTTTATAGAGGTCACCAAGAAAAAGAAATGTAAAAGCCAATTATGCAGAATAGGATGTTTAACATAATCTTGATGTTTTAAATACTTCAGAAGTACCTTAAAGAAAGATGAAGCAACAATAAGATGTAAATAATAAGATATAAATCTTTTTTCCTTTGTCTAGGTACATATAATTAGGCAAAAATACTGAGAGAAATTTCAAAGCCATATGTGTCTTTGAAAATAGTTTCTTACCATGTCGTTTCATTTTTTTTTTATAGAAACAACACAACCCATTTGAATTATATTCTAGTGGGCGTCTTTCCAATGTAGTCTCAAGGGATTCCCTATATTTGGAAGGCAGGAAAACTTCCCATCCAAGTCCAAGAAGAGTGTCTCAGCCCTGGGCTTCAAGCCTAGAGAAGATCACCATGCCTCCTGGCCCAGTGTCCAGGGTTCTTGTTCCTTTTTGTTTTTCCTTTGTTAGCTCATACTTTTAACCATCTAGGTTTTAACTTGATGCATTTAAAATGTTTGCTTGTAAACAAGTTTGAGGAATTAAAATGATCCATTATAAATTATTTTATGTTTCAAGTTTAATATGTCACCAAATGCAACAAAAAGTCAAAAAGAGCCATTAAGTGGGTACCCAAAGTCCCACTTGACCCACTCTTTATCACAGGGATCCTTGGGACACCGCTCCATGGTCTTTTGTGTCCATCATCCACACTCCACAGCATCTCCCCTTATGGAAAGCAGAATCCAGCATAAGGAGAAAACTAAGAGTAACTAAAACAGGACAGGAAAGTGTGCTGGAAGGTCATGAGTGTTTGGAGCTGGAGATGCAGCCAGGGGCAGGGAGGTGGGGCGCAGAAACAGTGAGAGTCCTCCTTTTACAGTGCAGTAGATAGCTTTGGCTAAATGCCACCTCAGATACATTTGGCCCTTGCATCCATGAGTGAATAAAACTGCTCACAATCCAAAATATTCAGGGGAAAAAAAGCCCTGCATCTACTGAACATGTGGGCATTTTCTTTGTCATTCACCCCACTGCATGTTTTAATAAACACATAGAATTACCACTGAAGTAGATATCAACAGCAATCTGGGGATTTTTAGAAGACTCAGGGGGCTGTGTGCAGGTTATATAAAGTACTATACCATTTTATATAAGGACTTGAACTTCTGCCTATGTTAGCATCCAAGAGGAGTCCTGAAATCAGTCCCCTGTGGATACCAAGGATGCCTGAATGAGAAAACAGATGTCTTCTCAATTCCCATTACAGCTTTACTACTACCCCCACCCCCAAAAAGCTGCATGGATCGTACAAGGACTCCCAGCTCAGATTCTGTTAGACCAGTAGATGTCCCCAACATGCACGGCTGACAAAAGCAAAACCAAACACGTGTATATTTTTCACCAATATTCAAACGGCCTTTGCAGCTTCCCTTCTCCCCCTCTCCGTATTGTCTTTTCTTTAGCTCTGATCACAGATGGAGGTTGACATATAGATCCAAACATTTAGACTCCGTAGTCTCTCTCCTCTGGTAATATCACAGCCCAGATTTCCCAGTGTTGGGCATATTCTGAACTCCACCCAAATTCACTGAGGCGTGGTTAAATTCATTTTGTCTTAAAGGTCTCTTCTGTGTAAAGCTTCTCTTGCCAGAGCTTAGAATTCCCTTCAAGCCAAAGAAAAGGATTTCACTAACCCTGTTAGATCTGCAGCTCTATTTCACTAACCCTATTAGATGGGCAGCTCCCTCTGATAAGAAGAGTCTGGGCCACAGGGTAACACCGTGAGGCAGAGTAATCCTTCTTGCACAATGGTTTTGTGAAATCTGCAATACCTTTATACAGATGGTGAGTCAATAGCCATTACTTCCTGGTCCTAGCTCCAAATAGGCTTCTTTTTCCACTTTTTAAAAATCATGATAAAATAGTCATAACATAAAATTTACCACCCTAATGATTGTTAAATTCAATGGCATCATTTTGGTTGTTCATTATTTTGTGTATGGGAGTATTCGGGTCACCAAGAGTGGGTGGAGGTCAGAGGATTGTGGGAAGGAGTTGGTTCCCTGCTTCCACCATATGGGTTCCAAGGGTCAAGTTCAAGTTATCAGGTTTGATGGCAAGTGCCCCTTTACCTGCTGCATCCTCTCACCAGCCCTGGACAACGTATGTTTATATCATTATGTCTTTTGAAATCGAAATTCTTTAACCAGTGAACAACAACTACCTGTCCCGTCCCCCCACCCCCACCCCTCTGCCCATAGCAAGCTCTGCTCCTACTGGATTTCTGAGACATTCCTTTCAAATATCTTAGAAAAGCAGTCTATTTTATTTGTCTGTTCCACTAGTCCAGGTTTATTCTAGAAATAAAAATCAACTTTGAGAGGCTTCCCCTACACACCCCAGTGAAGGCCCCGAGTTCACTCTGGTAGTCTCTGAGCCTGTGTTAACCTATGGTCTCTCGTGAATGCATAGCTCTACACACCAGGGAGCTCCTCAGCCTTTTCCTCAGCATATTGCCAGAGGAGGAGGAGGTAGGGAAACATGGTGCATGCCCAATCCCAGCACTCTAGCAGGGGTATCCCGTGGGGCTGGTGGGACTATACAGCAAGCTCCTGTCTAAGTAAAAAAAAAAAAAAAAAAGGAAGAGGCGTTGGTGGCTCTCATTAAACCTGCTTCTGTCCCTGAAGCCAGCGGCCTGCCTGCCCCTTCCTACACACCACTGTCTCCACAAAATGAGTCAAGCCCTATGGTGGTGACATACACTCTAGGCCTCAGGCATGTCTCTGAAACAATGCACATAGTTGGTTTCCTCCGTGCCTGGCACATTAAGACACAGTCATGAGGTAAATCTGGTCTTATTAATCTCAAGGCACCCAGGGAAATACAGTAAGAGCATTGCAGTCCATGGCTGATTTCTACATAACCTTGGGTCTGAAAAGGTCAGGTACTGTAGAACAAAGCTTGAGCACACATTTCGAATACTAATGGAGGTGGATAGTGTTCTGACCCCGGCCCAGCAGGGATGAGGGAGTGAGTGTAAAAGGAAGGTGTAGTCTGGGTTTCTTTATGCTTCCTGTTCTCGCCATATGCAGAAGTCTGGGCCCCGGCCACCAGCAACACTTCCCTCCTGCTCTGTGGTCTACCAGAGAGGCCAGGGGACTGTCTGCGGGGGCCAAGCCTGTGTGTGTTCCCTGCTTCAGCAGCCCCGCCCAAGCAGGAAGAAGCAGAACTAAGAGTGCAGGCACACCTCATTGGGCTGGTTCAGGTCCTGCAGGTGCAAGTCTTGAATGAGGTAATCCACAATGTGCAGGTTGTTGTTCTGAGCTGCGAAGTGGAGAGCAGTCATTCCTTCCTGGAAAAAGTCCGGGTGACGGAGTGCTTACCTCAGAACCTCAGAACTTCCGTCCCAACACCAGTGACATGAGCGCTCATGCTCTCCCCTCAATCCCGTGGGAACCCCCAGAACGCCTGTCCCAGTACCAGGTGAACGCTCATGCACCTCCCCACTCCCACCCCGCCCCCGTGGGATTCCAGAACTATGGCTCCAGGACCGGTGAGGTGAGTCAGAGCACTCATGGACCGTGGGGCCTGAATACCTACCTGGCTCTTGGCTCTCTGGTCTGCTCCAGCTTTAACTAGCATGAGCATGATCTCGAAACTTCCAGACCAAGCTGCAAGGTGAATTACTGTCAAGCCATGCTTCCCCAAGAAGAGAGAAGAGAAGTCGTTACACAACGAATTGCCACATTCTGCCTCAGCCAACAAAAGCCTAGGTGATACTAGATTATTGGAAAAATAAGAAATAAGTAACCTAATATGTAACAAAAGTGATATTGTAATTCTATAGGGGACATATAAGTAATTCAGTGGGTCTCAACTGCTGTACTACATTATACTAAAAATTATAAATACACACAATAACTATTTTTAACTAGGCTATAATGTGCACTCCCTTGATTTAGAGTTATAAAAGGAAAAATAGAACATAAACCTTAAATGACACTTCCAAAACCCTATAGTTAGTGAAGATAAATGGATCTCTAATATATGGGATGTTTTTACAAAGTGTCATCAACAACAAAAGACAAACCATAGAAAAACATTCTATCTCTCGTAGGGTATTAGAAAAAAATGCAAAATGTTACTGTCTAAACTAGCTGGCAGTTCTGTTTAAAATCAAATGGTGGCACATGCCTTTAACCCCAGCACTCAGGAGGCAGATCTCTGTGAGTTCGAAGCCAGCCTGGTCTACAGGGCAGTTACAGCAAGAAACACTGTCTCCAAGAACAAAGCAAAACAAACAAACAAACAGAAAACAAAGGAACCGGGCTCGAGATGGATGAAAAGATGGCATGAATTGTGCATATGTGTGCATAACGTAGTCAGATCGAGAGATTCACTTCAGAACTTCCTGACTGGTGAGCAACTGTGTGCTGAATTGTTAAATCATGCCCTGAACTAGCAGAGAGAAAAATGGAGGGAAACACAGCCAGCAGTTAACACTGGTTTTTTCAAGGAGGTGCCTCAGGAGGAGGGGAACGGATGCAAGATCGCAGCCCGTGCTGTAGAAGCAGAGGCGAGCGGGGGAGCGGACGCTCTGGGGTGGTCAGCGCTGACTGAGAGTGCTCACTCCCACCGCTGGCAGGTGCCCTCACAGTGCTCAGCTTAGTTAGGTTCAGCTGCAGCTTCACTTCCGTGTGGTTCTTTTGTTCTCTTTCTGAGACAGAGAGTCTCACTGTGAACAGCAGGCTGCCGTCAAGCTCTCCACACTCCTGCCTCAGCCTCCCAAATCCTGGGACTGAAGATATCCTTCAGCCATGCCCAGCAATTTTGTTCCTTATAGTTAAGGTCACGTGTATCCTTTCCTGTTTCCTTTATTCCTGTCAAAAAGCAACCCAAGTACTCTGCTTAGCCTTCCCACTGTATCATCTATGTTTCAAATAACAATGGTTTTGATCCGCTACATAGGCGTGTTAGATGCACAAATCCGAGTAAATAACCAAGAAATATGGATCTGTAGACCTCTCCTGTTTGTGGCATGGAGAAACCCCGTGGTATTCCTTTGGCTGCTCCAGACACTGTATTTATGTGTTCTCTTATTCCTATTCTAAAAAGAGTTCGGGTTGGGAGCAAACTAGTGAGTCCCAGCATATTACTGTGTAGTTCTAAACCAGTGCCTCCTGATGAAGGGCAATTTGTCTCCAGGGGAGAGGTAGAAATGTCTTGGGATATTCCTGATAATCATGACTCAGGGGTGATGCCGGTGCATAAAGCGCAGGACTGGGTATGTTGTTGAACACTCCCCAACACACAAGGCTGCTCCACAGCGAGAGACTGCAGGGTCACAGATGTTGCTGTGCCAGCAAACACTTGTTTCTGCTGAGAAGCCCTGCTGTGAATGAACGTGCTCTCACAGACTTGAGCAGCTCAGCTCTCACTCTGCACAGAGACTTAGTGCACTTCCTACTTCCAGTCTCAGTACACAGACAGCTCAGCTCTCACTCTGCACAGAGACTTAGTGCACTTCCTACTTCCAGTCTCAGTACACAGACAGCTCAGCTCTCACTCTGCACAGAGACTTAGTGCACTTCCTACTTCCAGTCTCAGTACACAGACAGCTCAGCGGTCTCTGCACACTTCCCTTTACAAGGATCAATGGACTATCATGATTAGCTGGGTTCTTATAGGTGCACTAGCCACGATTCTCCCTCTTCATTTAGGCTTCCACACTATCACTGCTCCATATCCGGTAGTCTAAATCTGGCCTCACATACGGTGCTGTTTGGGACGAGTGACAAATCACGTAGTAATAGGGCCTCTCTTTCCCCCTAAGAGATGATTCCTAATTTTGAAGAGAACAGTCTTTAAAAACTCCTAGCACTGATTACAAAAATCTAAACTCTGGGAATCCACAGAGCAAACAACTTGAGTTTCTGCAACCACAAATTCCTACTGGAGCCATCATTCTTAGAGGTGATGAATCACCATGTACAGACGAACATTTCCCCAGAGCACCCTCCACGCCACAAACATTGCTATAGAATGGGCAAACTTGAGCCCATGACATGGGTGAAATTTGGCTCTCGTGCTTTTTAAAGTGTAAAATGCTGGAACATCCCCATAACCAGCCAGGTCATAGGTGAGGAACAATACACCCAAGGACATTCCAGAAAGGCAGAAGGATCTTTGAGCGTCACAGCTGGGAGCTTTGTTCACCCGGGATAAAGAACTTCTTTTATTTAGCTTATATCAAATCTCATGCATGCCACCCACCTTTGTCCTCAGTGACTGAGTCAGGCATCTGACTCTGAGCCTCAATGCCCTGAATAGTACTAGTAGATTACATTTACCTTTGCTCCCCAGTTTGACTGCAGAGTCCTTAAGACCAGGACTATGTCTCATGCCATTATGCTCATATCAAATATAATCACCTGGGATGTTTTTTACATCATGAGTTGGTTTGTTTGGTGTGTGTGTGTGTGTCTGTGTGTGTGTGTGTGTGCGCGCGTATGCGTAGTATGTGTATGGTGTATGGTGGTGTATGTGTGTATGGAGTGGTGTGTGTATGGTATGTTTGGTGTGTGTGTGTGTGTGTGTGTGTGTGTGTGTGTGTGTGTTACATGTAGAGACCAGAAGTGAATGCCAGGTATTTTCCTCAGTTGTTCTCCACCTTAGTTTTGTTATTTATTGGCAGAGCCTAACCATGTAGTCCTGTTATACAGGGACCATTAACAACTAAGTGTCTTCCCCTGTTTCTCTCACCAAAAGCAACTAAACTCTCCAGATAAAATCCAGATATCAGAAGACTCCAGAAAATGAATGGGTGTAGGCAGATTGGGGAGGTGGCCCAAACTCGGGGTGCTGAGGATGCTGAAGGAAGCTTCCTGTTGCTTTCATTGCTTTCCTAGAGACTCAAGGCAGTTTTAGTTCTAGAACTAGACATGGACGAAGAGGGACAGAGGGAAGCCCCTTAGGAAGAGAAGGTGACAGAATCCGTGCCTAGCTGCTCTCTTTGGCCCTGACAGCTTAGGGGACATGGGAAATGTTGTGAGCAGGAGGACCTAATTGTGGACACAAAGGAGCTCATGTGTACATACACTCCTGGGCTGTGCCCTGAGCTGCACCTGCACAGAATCTTAACCCGGTGACAAACAGTTTGGGGAACTGAACTCAGGTGAAGACTATTGTCCCAGACTGACTCTGGGGACAGATCTTAGCTGCACTGCAAAACTTTTGGAAACTGGAGTGACATTTAAAAAACCCTGGTCATCCTTGTGCAACACATGCCACCACAACCTGTTTCGCTCTGAACTAAAATCAACTCAAGATGGACCACCACCTTAATCTGTTTTAAGTTTCTGTAACAAGCTGGAATAACAGCCTGATAATTAATGAGAAGAAAGAGGTTTGGCTCATGACTCTAGAGGCTTAGCAGTCCAAGCTGAAGAGGCTTCCTTATGACATGTATCATAAGATGGATGGGGACTCACCTTATTAGGAGACCTCTCCTGAACAAACAGCATTAATCTATTCATGAGGGCACAATGCTATGAGCTATTTATCTCTTACAGGTCTCATCACTCAGCACAGTGGCCCCATGCATTATTTCTGTCGCATGAATTACAGGGGACATGCTGAAACCATAGCAACACCAGAACTAAATGGAAACATAAGACTTTACAATGCTTAGAAGAAAAATATGAGGAAATTGCCATGGTTCGGCAAATTGTTCCTACATATATGCAATACTGCTATCAGGACTCATTTTTAAAAAGAGGAATGTTAAGTCAGGCACTAAAAAAATACAGTACTCAAGAATCAGGGATAGGGGGATATCTGAGTAAAGGCCTGGATGGTCTACATAGTGACTGACATGTCCTCCAGTGTCATATAATGAGACCCTGTCTAAAAAAAATAAAGCCAGAATTCTTATTTCATCAAAATTAAAGCCATCTGCTCTGTGAACACTGTGAAGACAGTCTACAGATATGAGAAAATAACACAAAGCATGACCTCTCATAGGGTCTGTTCACAGGGTAGGTAGTAAACTTCACAATGAAAGAATAACTTAAAAGAAAATAAAAGAATAATCAAATCAAGTTTTTAGAAACATTCAAAAGATCTGGTTGGAGATTTATCTTAATGATAGAAGGCTCAGTTGATTTGTGGAAAGCCCTGGTTCCTATCTCCAGCACACACACACACACACACACACACACACACACACACACACACACACACACACACACCCTATGGGCTCAGCTATCTCTTATACCAAAGAGAGGAAAATTTGTGCCTGCAAAGACATGCAAAATGTCTACAGTGCCTTTTCTTTGCCTGTGTACATAAATAAACATGTATGTGTGGAGGTCCAGCTGAACTGATAATATTTTCCTTTATTGATCTACACATTAGTTTTTAAACAATTTTTTAAACATGGAACTCACTATTTTGGCAATGCTTGGAGGACAGGGAGGCACCAGAATCCACCCATCTTTGTGAGCTCTGTGCCCAGCACTGTTGTTAGAGGTGTGTGCAGCTATGTCTGGCTTCTTGAGTGGGTGCTAGGCATTAAAATTCAGGTTCCCATGATTGTGCAACAGAGATTTTATCCACTGAGCCATCTCCCCAGCACCAGTAACTTTACTATAACACAAACTGGAAACCATTTTCATGTTCTTCACGTGGTAAATAGATAAACTAGGTTACATTCATAAATAAAAGTGCTATTCAGTTAAAAAGGAGAAGGGAAACATTTAGAAAAGATGTGGGTGAACGTCATCAGTGTTTCACTGAGTGAAATAAACCAGCCTCAAAGATTATATGTCATGTGTTATCACATAGGTGACAGTCTCAAGGCAAAACCACAGAGATCAGTGGTTGCTGGGGTGTGACAGCTTAGAATGCAGAAACAACGCAACAGAAGTTTTTGGGTGATACATCTGTTCTGCTTGTTAAGCTTTGTTAGTGTTTGTTTGTTTGTTTGTGGGTTTTTCTTTCTTTTTGATGCTGGAGATTGAACACAGAGCTTATGCATCCTAAACACATCACCACTAAGCTATACCCCAAGAATTTGCTCTACATTTTAAAGTAGTGGTGGCTCTATAAACCTGTATACCTGTCAAAAATCAGCACTATATTTTAAAAAAAGAAAGTTAACTGGACAATATGTGGGGATTAAAGTAAAACAGAGATATTGTAAGAAGTTTTCTATGACAAAATGTAAATATATCTGGGTAATTGTGTCTTGTCAGTTTATCTTTTAAGGCTAACTAACAGGCAAAATAACCAGATCAGAGTTTGAATACCTGAGGAACATGCCGCTTAATTACCACAACCATGTTAAGGATATGGCAGGCTAGTAAAACCAGCTATCTGGATGTCTGAGATTTATAAGTGCAAGGCCTGCCTGGATTACATAGTGAGTTTGAGGCCAGTCCGAGCCACTTAAAGAGACCTTGTCTCAAAATAAAGTTGTTGTTTTTTTTCTTGGTTTTTGTTGTTGTTGCTGTTCTTGTTTTGTTTTAGGTTGGGATAGTTCAGTGATGGCATGCTTACCTAACAATGCAAAGTCCTGGGTTCAACTAGTAGCCACACCCTTTGCCCCCAAACCATGGCTGTTATACAATTAATTACACCCAGAGAGTGAGCAGGCAGTCGGTGGTAATTTTTTTCTGGATTATTAAGTAGCAATCCACTTGCTCACCAATGCACGGAAATAATCAAAAGAGCTCTGTGCCCCACTGGTGACACAAAGGAAAATCCAGGATTATCAAATCTACGCTTTCTCTATGATTGCCAACCAAGCCAGGAAGATGACTAGCAGGTGTGAACAGATGCCTCTCACCATCCAAGTATGTACTCCCAGGCCCTGGGAGAGGTGAAGAGAAAACAGTATTGCACCTTCCCCCCCAAAAGGTCCAGACCAGAGAGAACTCTTTGAGTGATTCTACATGGTATAAAGTTGGGAACCATGGAGCAGTGTTCCACGGCAGAAATGACTCGTTCCTCTGGCCTCCACACGTGTGCTGTGGCACACATGCATGCACTCACACACCACACATGTACACTGATTATGAATAAAAATAATATGGAGTATTATCACTGCTTCCTGTGACAAGAGGTGATAAGCATGATTTGGGGTCATTTTGGCTAGCTTCCTTGTGCCGTGAAGTACTAAATGGACATTGGAAAGTAGGTGGAAAACCCTCGGGGTGGGTTTTGCTGTCTTGGCAGACAGACAGGGAAGTTGGCTTGTGACTAACAGCACAGTATCTGAAACCAGAAAAGCTCAGTTCAAAGCTGCCTCCCATCGTTCTTCCTAAATGTAGCTTTGAGGGACAGGGTCTTTAATCTCCCTATCAGACTCTCTTCATCTCTAAATTGGGTATTTTACTAATACTTTCCCCATGGGGTTAGAAGGGAGATGGCATTAAATACCTACCTGACACCTGTGCCTGACACAGAACATGCATTTGATAAGTTTTATTTAGAATCAGAGTCCACAAGGCCAAGTCAGGACATGACGTCCCTGGAGCTGATTAGTGTCTGTCTTTCATGAATCTGACCCCAATGTGGCAATGTGGACAATCATGCTACCTTTGTACAATGTGAACGATCATACCACCTTTATACAAAATGGATAATCATACTACCTTTTTGCATGAGATCTAGGGCCCTAAGGTCAACCCAAGTCTTAATGAGTGAACAATGTAGTTACCAAGTACAGAAGCCTTTCTGAAAACGCACACTGCCGATGGAAGTGTGCCCATGAGAGGAAGACATCTGCAGTGGTAAATTCTCCTCCATGCAGATTATACAACAATTCAGTCTACCCACTGAAGGTGAGCTTACCTTGTCAGCAACATCCACCCTGGCTTTGTGGCTCAGTAAGAAATCCACCGCGGATAAATTATTCCTCGCCACTGCAAAGTGCAGAGCTGTGCGGTTCATCTGAGGAAACAGAATTTGTATCTTTGCTTATGTGATCGTCACTTAACCCTCTTACCACCCCTGTCTCCTTTGTTTGGTTTTCGGTTTTGTTTAGGAGACTGAGTCTCGCAGTGTAGCCCAGGTTGGCCTCTTGTCGTCCTCCTGTGTGAGCCTCCTGAGTGCTGGGATTACAGGCTTGAGCCACCTTGTTCAGCTGGGTCTCCTGTCTCTCAAATGGCCAGTACCTTCCTATCGACTATTTGCATTCTGATTATTTCTGCTTTTTCCTTTGAAAGGACTAAGAACTATGTGCAGCTGAATCATGCCTTCCCTGTTGTCAGACCACACCTGTGAATCCAGCAATCTACTGAAGGCTCTCCCAGACTAAAGCCCCGCATGACCTGCCACACAGTGAAAAGACATTCACACGGTAAAGTTGTATTTTCTCGAATGTAATCACTAATAATGGCATATTTTTCTGCATTTTATATGTTAGTCGATATCCTGTTTCTGTGTCAAAGTAACTAAGACAAGCAATTCATAAAGAAGAAACTTTATGTTGGCTCGCAGCGTTGGGGTCTCAGTTGTAACTGGCAGGAAGGAAGTCAGAGAGCAAAGCTACTCGCCTCGAGTTAGCCAGGAGGAAAGAGAGGGAGAGGCTGGGGTACCAGGGACCCCTTCAAGAGCAGACTCCCAGGGATCTGGCCTCGTCTGCTAGGCCCGTCTCTTAAAGGTCTCACCAGCTTTCACTGTGCCTTCAAGGTGGCTTTTGGAGATACTTAGGATTTATATCATAACAGAATACATTGATAACCCATGGCAAAACTTCCTAAATGTCTCAGTTTGTTCCTTTTCTCTCTCCTATATATTTTCTGAAGAGTGTAAATTTCATGTGTCTGAGTGTTTTGCCTGCAGGTTTACATAAGCAACATGTGTGAGCAAAGAGGTCAAAAGAGGACATCAGATCCCCCAGAACTGGAGTTACAGTGGTTATGAGCCACCACGCAGGGGCTGGGAAATGAATCGAGTCCTTTGCAAGGGCAACAAATCCTCTCAATCATTGTGCTGTCTCTCCAGCCTCCCTCTTCTATAATTAGAAAACCCTGTAGTTTGCAAAGAAACAAATAAATTGGTTTGGAAGGAAGTGAAGAAGGAAGGAGAGAAGCAGACCAGAAGAAAATGAGGGGAGGGAAGGAAGGAAGGAGGAAGAGAAATAAGGATGAAGAAAAGGAAGAAGAGAAGCAAGGCTAGAAGAGAGGAAGGAAGGAGGGAATGAGAGGGAGGGGAGTCAGAGAACAGGGAAGGGGAGGGAAAGAAAGCTATTGAAATCTGCTGCTTCAAAGGAAACCCACACTTTGCTCCCAGCATGCCCACATAACAGTTTGCCTCATTCCCACAGCATATGTTTTGTTTATCAGAAATATTTGTGCCACATTTGCCATATTTTAAGCACTGTTTTACTTCCCCCAGAAGATGCCTGGGCATGAACACACTACTCTCGCTTCACACAAGTAATTACAGTAACAAGAGAATGGTTTAAAGTTTAAGATGATTATTTTCTTTTCTTGCTTGCTAAACTGGTGGTGTTTACAAAACACAAGTCATCTTGACATTGTCTGCAATGTAGAGTTTATTCTATTGTGTCAGCTTGGGGCTATCAGCTTCCCCATAAACTTTATTTGTATAAGAATGAAATAAAACCACTTACACTTAAAATATGCATCATCACAGATTTTAGGGAACCCTGCAACTAACCACGACAAGTTGCTATAAACAAGATTAAATCGCTATTATTAGAAAGAATATCATAAAAAAGATGGTAGCTCAGTGGTAGGGCATTTATCTAGTATGTGTGAGGCCCTAGGCTTGGTCCCCAGTCTACAATCCAGGACCAAGTTCAGGCCCATAACTGTGATGATGGGTTTTCCAGCCTACCCACAAGCTTTGGGATGTGCTAAGGATCCAGTGTACTTTCTTCTGTAGAATGAAGGAAAGAGAGAGAGCGAGAGTGAAAGCCAGAGACAGAGAGAGAGAGAAAGAGAGAGGGGGGGGTGGGAGGGAGACAGAGACAGAGACAAAGAAAGACAGAGAGAGAGAGAGAGAAGACAGAGAAGGGATGGCATCAAAGGATGTCCTCTGGCTTCCATACGCATGCCCACCCATGTGAACGCCTACTCACACACAGATGTGAATGCATATTCATCAACACACACACACACACACACACACACACACACACACAATATGTCTGAGGAAATAGATCAGTGGTAGGTTGCCTAGCATGTGTGAGGCTGTAGTTCAAAAACCAATACTACAAAGCTGCCTTGTTCAGAAAATTGAAATTGTTTTAAATGTGCAGAGGCTGTACTTCCTGCTTGTTACTCAAAAATGAATCTCCATGCTCAGAATAATTTAAAAATACAAATACCTGTGTTTTAGCAAATAATTGTTTTCAAAGGTTTTTTTTAATACCTGCCTGCTTCTTTTCTTTAGTTTTCTTCTCCTTTTTAAAGCCCTCACTATCCTGAAATTCACTATGCAGACTAGGCTGGCCTCAAACTCACAGAGATCCCTCTGCCTCTGCCTCCATGCATGTTCACAGAATCCAGAAGAGGGCTTTGAATCTCCTGAAACTGGAGTTACAGATGGTTGTGAGCTGACGTGTGGGTTCTAGGAATCGAACCCTCATCCTCTGCAAAAGCAGCCAGTGCTCTAGACAGCCGAGCCATCTCTACAGCTCCAACCAACTATTGCCTTTTCTTTCCTCCTCCTATTTTCTTTTCTTTCTTTCCCCTTCCCCATTTTTTGTTCCTAGAATTGTTATGCTATGAATTTTTTTCTGGTTTTCTCTCTATATATGTATATGAATATATATATATATATATATGTGTGTGTGTGCGTGCAGAATATATATGTGTATGTATGGATCACATATGCATATGTGAATATATTATATGTATGTAATATTTAAACATATGTCTAATAATATGTGTATAGTATATATGCTGTACATATATGTAAATATGTGTACATATATGTGTATACATGTATGCAATATATATGATATACATATATCTATACATACATACATCAAAAATGCCCATAAATACAAGTTGCGTGTATGGGTATATAAATTCCCATAAGTGCTTGCATGAGCACATACCCCATCACATACACTCATGCACACATACGCAACTGCTAAAGATTATTGTGATGCATGTTCTGCATGACATTGACAGTGCAGTTTTGTTCCTATTACCTTCCTGCCTGGAATATCTTCATATTTTGTGAGGCCTGAGTTTAGACTATTTAGGGAGCCCTTTTGTGGGTGGGGTAGGGCTACAGATGTGAGAGCACGTGTGGAGGCTAGAACTCAATCCAGATGTTGTTTCTCAGGAGCCATCCACCTTGATTTTTGCGATCTCAGTGAGACCTGAGGCTTGTCAATTGCTGCAGTGACAACCATGGGACTCTAGTCTCCACCTCCTCAGTACTGGGTTACAAGCATGTGCCACCAGGCCTGGCTTGTTCTTGGGGTGCTAGGATTGGAACTCTGGTCTTCATGCTGTGTGACTGGCACTTTAATGACAGAGCTATTTCCCCAGACGTAGGGAGCTCTCTTCGAAGCCAAAATCAGAGATGCAAAATTTATTGCAGCTACAGTGCCTTCATTTTAGGTCTTAGGAAGATCACATAATTGTGGGCAACATTGCCAGAGCTCTCCCAGTGCCTTGGAAGGGGCCCAAGCAAGCAGGGCCCCGAGGCTTGGTCTTCATTTAGCATTAAATCCACCTCTGCATTCTGACTTCAGAGCGCTCTACAGTTCACCCGAAGAAAGTCTCACCTACCAGCCCATTCATGCTGATAAACCCTGCCTTGAAGGAACTTCCTACAAGCCAAACAATAGGAAAGCCACGTTTCTGGCAGTAGACTTCTCCCCTAAAGCCTAGGTTCTTGAAGAACAAAAGCCAGATGACATTGCCCAACATGCGAATGCTATTTCAAAAGCAGAAAAATGAAAATTCACATTCTTTGGATTGTACATCTGGATTATAAATCTATCCCAACCATAGAAGGTATCATGAGAGAAAAGGATCCCAGATGTTATAGCAAATCATGCCCTGACTTTCCATAATGGGCAGGACTGAGCTTATCCACAGGATCCAATCTAGGGCCAAGTCCAGACCCACAGTCCCAACGCTGGACATGCTTGTCTACTCACAAACTTTGCACGGATGTGCATAAGACCATGCATGCTTCCCTTCCCTAAGTAAAACACCCTGAGCCTGCTCTGCTATGGAATGCCATCTTTAGCTTTAACACCCGCATTACAGCCCCCACATCTCAGTCGGTCCAGTCTCTTCAATTATTGTCATTATTTTAGCTGACCTATGTACTCCCAGCCGCCACATGGAATAGCCACTTGTCATGTTTGTGACTTCTACTCACATTGTTCACAGCATTAATGTTAACCTTCTTTTCAAACAGCTTCTCCATAAGAGCCAAAGCGTTGCTTTTAGCAGCATTCTGAAAGCTTCTCTCAATTGGCAGCACTGAAAGAAAGAGAGAGCATGACCCAGAGGAGGAGAGGAGCCACACAGTTCCCTGTCACCTTTCGTGTGACAGCCTCGTAGACTGAAAAAGCTGGAGTGGTAACCTTGAGACTTCCCCGCTCCGCTGTGAGGACACAGTGTATTTGCTTAAATATTTTACAAGGTCAGAACATCATGATTCCACCTTCTCCTCACATTGCAAGTGTTTCCCCACCCTCAAAATGTCCCTGACCTCAGACAGCGTTGCTCAAGAAGGCCACCTCCAAGCTCCACGACCTGCAGGTTAGAGGGCCACTGCAGACTGACCTCCCAGGGGACCTTGCTTATGAGCAGTTAGGGGCAACGCACATCTTACAAAGATAAAACTTCTATCTGCAGAATTCAGATTCAGTGCCAAACCTGTAGCAGCAAAACCTTAAAGTGAGCCCACTGTGGACACCCAGACAGGCCAAGAGGAATGAATAGGTTTTATTCTCATTTATAAGAAAGGACATAAAATTGGATTCACACCTACTGTGACCATGACACTCCCCACCACATCCCCCATACATTCACTCATACATATATGTGGCAGGCTTTATTAACTAGTATCAAGAAGATTCAAGAGAGCTGAGTTCTCAAGAGACAGTCCCAATCATGGGGATAAAATAAACATTGACATTAAGAATTGAAAGCAGGTGTGTGACAAAATATTTTGAACTGAATGAAAAGGAAAACAGCATGTCTGGAGAGATGACTCAGCAGTTAAGAGCACTGACTGCTCTTGCAGAGGGCCTGGGTTTGGTACCCAGCATTAACATGGTGGCTCACAACCATTGGCAACTCCATTTCTAGGAGATTGGACACCCTCTTCTGACCTTCACAGGCACCATGCACACACACACACACACACACACACACACACACACACACACACACACACACTAATACATTTATAAAAGAAATAAAATCAAAGAACAAACAGCCTTCTTCCCCTTTCTCAAAAGAGAAAAAAGTCACCTCTATTTGGTAACTGGAAATAGATGAGAATTCCCTCATTTTTGAAAGGGCATCTAAAAAAACCTGACAACCAACATCATACTTAATTTTAAAAATCTGAGCTTCTTTTGTTCTTAAGATCAGGAATAAAAAGAGATTTCTACTCTTACATCCCTGTTTACATATTGTGCTGAAAGTTATAGCTAGAAAAATAGATTGGTACAGTAAGTGAAAAGACAAACAGACAGAAGGAAAAACTTCTAGTTTGGCTTTAGACAACTTGGTTGTTTATGTATAAAATCGCAAGGAATGTACAAAGCATCTCTAGAACCAGCAAGTGAGTTTAGCACTCAAGATTAACACCTGAGCCCTTGCAGACCCCACCCTCCAGTGTGCCCAGCTTCAGGTGAGCTTGGGTCCTCCTGGCATCCCTCCCCTGCCCATCACCCACTCCCTCAATCTTCTGGGGGCTGCTCCTGGCATCGAGAGGACCTGCCCACACAGGAAAGATAAGCCCTTCCAGACCCCACTCTCTGGCATGCCCAGCTTCAGCTTCAGGAAAGAAGGAGTCCAATGGAGACAGAAAGAACCCAACTACACCCACTGGAAGAAGAGATGGGAAGAAGACAGAATAAGAACTCACTCAGCAAAAGAAAGACCAACATGACTACACCAGAATCTAGAGACCCCATGCCAGGAAGACCTGAAAAAGTACAGCAGAGATGAAGCAGAAGAGACAGACCTTAAAAATTATTTTATGAAGATGATAGAGACCCTCAAAGATGAAACAAGGAAATCCCTTAAAGAAATAGAAGAAAAAACAAACAAAAAATATATGAAATGGAGGAAAAGACGAACCAAAAAATTCAAGAAATAAACAAATTTCTTAAAAACTCTAAAGAGTACCAAGGAAAAACAACCAAGCAAATGAAGGAAACAACTCAAACAGTTGAAGGATTGAAAGCTGAAATAGAAACAATGAAGAAAACACAGAATGAGGGGATGCTGGAAATAGAAAAGCTGGGTAAACAATCAGGAACTACAGATGCAAGTATCACCCATAGAATACAAGAGATAGAAGAGAGAATCTCAGGTGTTGAAGACTCATTAGAGAATATACAGTCATCGACCAAAGAAAATCTCAAAACCAATAAATCCCTAACACAAAATATCCAGGAAATATGGGACACCGTGAAGAAGCCAAACCTGAGAATAATAGGTATAGAAGAAGGTGAAGAAATACAGCTCGAAAGTACAGAGAATATATTCACCAAAATCATAGAAGAAAACTTCCCTAACCTAAAGAAGGATATGCCCATGAAAAGACAAGAATCTTACAGAACACCAAATAGGCTGGACCAGAAAAAGAAGTCCCCTCGCCACATAATAATCAAAACATGAAACCTACAGAATAAAGAAAAAATATTAAGAGCAGCTAAAGAAAAAGGCCAAGTAACATATAAAGGCAGGCCTATCCTAATTACACCCGACTTCTCAATGGAAATTATGAAAGCCAGAAGATCCTGGACAGATGTCCTACAAACGCTAAGGGAACAAGGATGCCAGCCCAGACTACTGTATCCAGCAAAGCTTTCGATTACCATAGATGGAGAAAACAAAATATTCTGCGATAAAGCCAGATTTGAACAATACATATCCACGAATTCAGCCCTACAGAAAGTGCTGGAAGGAAAACTTAGAGCCAATAAAGATAACTACACTCACAAAGACATAGGCAATAGATAATCCTGCTTTACCAAACACCAAAAGAAAAAGGGAGGAGAACCTACGCACAATAGCACCACTACCAATAAATCAAAAACAAACAAAAATCATCAATCAATGGTCATTAATATCCCTCAACATCAATGGTCTCAACTTGCCTATAAAAAGACACAGATTAGCAGAATGGATACGAAGACAGAACCCATCCTTCTTCTGCATACAAGAAACACATCTCAACGTCAAAGACAGACATTGCCTCAGAGTAAAGGGTTGGGAAAAGATTTTCCAATCAAACAGACCCAAGAAACAAGCTGGTGTAGCAATCCTAATATCTAACAAATTAGACTTCAAATTAAAATTAATCAAAAAAGAGATGAAGAAGGACATTTCATATTCATCAAAGGAAAAGTCCATCAAGATGAAGTCTCAATTCTGAACATCTATGCCCCAAATACAAAGGCACCCACATTCATAAAAGAAACATTACTAAAGCTCAAATCGCACATAAAATCTCACACACTAGTAGCAGGAGACTTCAACACTCTGCTCTCACCACTAGACAGGACCTCCCAGACAGAAACTAATAGAAGTTATGACCCAACTGGGTTTAACAGACATCTGTAGAACCTTCCACCCAAACACAAAGGGATATACTTTCTTCTGGACGCCACATGGAACCTTTTCTAAAATTGACCACATAATCAGAAACATAGCAAACCTCCACAGATACAAAAAATTGGAATAAAGCCCTGTATCTTATCAGACCACCATGCACTAAAATTAGAATTCAACAATAACACAAATCGCCGAAACCCTACAAACACATGGAAATTGAACAATTTACAATTGCACCATCCCTGGGTCAAAGAAGAAATTAAAGACTTCCTGGAATTCAATGAGAATGAAGACGAAACATTCCCAAACTTATGGAACACTCTGAAAGCAGTGCAGAGAGGAAAGTTTATAGCACTAAGTGCCCACATGAAGAAACTGGAGAACAGTCACACTAGAGAATTAATAGCACAACTGAATGATCTAGAACAAAAAGAAGCAAACTCACCCAGGAGGAGTAGATGCCAGGAAATAAGCAAATTGAGGGCTGAAATCAATAGTGTAGAAACCAGGAAAACATTGCAAAGAATGAAACAAAGAGTTGGTTCTTTGAGAAAATCAACAAGATAGACAAACCATTGTCCAAACTAACCAAAAGGCAAAGAGAGAACACTCTAATTAACAAAATCAGGAATGAAAAAGGAGACATAACAACGGATACTGAGGAAATCCAGAAAATCATCGGGGCATACTTTGAAAACCTGTACTCCACAAAATTAAATTAGAGGAAATGGAGAATTTCCTAGATAGATACCATTTGCCAAATTAAATCAAGAACAGATAAGCAATCTATACAGACCTATAACCCTTAATGAAATAGAAGCAGTCATCAAAAGTCTCCCCCCCCCAAAAAAAGCCCAGGCCTAAATGGCTTCAGTGCAGAATTCTACCAGAAACTCAAAGAAGAGCTAATTCCAATAATCCTCAAAGTGTTCCACACAATAGAAGCAGGAGGTTCACTGCCAAACTCTTTTTATGAGACTACAATTACCTTGGTACCCAAGTCACACAAAGACACAACTAAGAAAGAGAACTATAGACCAATTTTCCTCATGAACATCGATGCAAAAATACTCAATAAAATACTAGCAAAACAGATCCAAGAACACACAATTATACACCATGATTAAGTAGGCTTCATCCCAGGGATGAGGGATGGTTCAACGTATGAAAATCTATCAATGTAATCCACCATATAAACAAACTGCGAAAGAAAAACCACATGATCATCTCACTAAATGCTGAAAAAGCCTTGACAAAATCCAGCACCCCTTCATGATAAAGATTCTAGAGAGATCAGGAATAACAGGAACATACCTGAACATAATAAAAGCAATATACAGTAAACCAACTGCTAACATCAAACTAAATAGAGAGAAACTCAACGCAATTTCTCTAAAATCAGGAACAAGACAAGGCTGTCCACTCTCTCCATATCTCTTCAATATTGTACTTGAAGTTCTTGCTAGAGCAATAAAACAACAAAAGGAGATAAAGGGGATACAAATAGGAAAAGAAGAGGTCAAACTTTCACTATTTACAGATGATATGATAGTTTACATAAGTGACCCAAAAAACTCCGCAAGGGAATTCCAACAGCTGATAAACACCTTCAGCAAAGTTGCAGGATACAAGGTTAACTAAAAAAAAAATCAGTAGCCCTATTATATACATATGATAAAGTGGCTGAGAAAGAAATCAGAGAAATATCACCCTTTACAATAGCCATAAACAGCATCAAATATCTGGGGATAATGTTAACCAAAGAAGTGAAAGACCTCTATATCAAGAATGAGTCTTTAAAGAAAGAAATTAAAGAAGATACCAGAAAATAGAAAGATCTCCCATGCTCTTGGATTGGTAGGATCAACATAATAAAAATGGCAAACTTGCCAAAAGCAATCTACAGATTCAATGCAATCCCTATCAAAATTCCACCACAATTCTTCACAGACCTTGAAAGAACAATAATCAACTTTATATGGAAAAACAAAAGACCCAGGACAGCTAAAACAACCCTATACAATTAAGGAACTTCAGGAGGCATCACCATCCCTGACTTCAAGCTCTATTACAGAGTTATAGTCCTGAAAACAGCTTGGTATTAGCACAAAAATAGACAGGTAGACCAATGGAATCGAATTGAAAATCCTGATTTTAACCCACACACCTATGAACACTTGATTTTTGACAAAGAAGCTAAATTTATACAATGGAAAAAAGAAAGCATCTTCAACAAATTGTGATGGCGTAACTGCATATTGGCATTCAGAAGATTGTAGATAGATTCATGTCTATCACCTTACATAAAACTTAAGTCCAAATGGATTAAAGACCTCAACATAAATCCAGTCACACTGAAACTCTTAGAACAGAAAGTGGGAGATATTCTTCAACGAATTGGTTCAGGAGAACACTTCCAGTAGCACAGACAGTGAGATGGACAATTAACAAATGGGACCTCCTGAAACTAAGAAGCTTCTGTAAGGCAAAGGACACAGTCAACAAGACAAAAAGGCAGTCCACAGAATGGGAAAAGATATTCACCAACCCCACATCTGACAGAGGGCTGATCTCCAAAATTTACAAAGAACTCAAGAAGGAAGTCTCCAAAACACCAAAGGATGCAATTTAAAAGTGGGGTACAGAACTAAATAGCGAATTCTCAATAGTGGAGTCTAAAATGGCTGAGAGGCACTTGAGAAAGTGCTCAACATCCTTAGCCACCAGGAAAATGCAAATCAAAACAACTCTGAGCTACCATCTCACCCCTGTCTGAATGGCTAAAATCAAAAACACCAATGACAATATATACTGGAAAGGATGTGGAGAGAGGGGAACACTCCTCCACTGCTGGTGGGAGTGCCAACTCGTACACCCTCTTTGGAAATCAGTATGGAAATTCCTCAGGAAAATGGAAATCAGTCTACCACAAAATCCAGCAATTCCACTCTTAGGCATATACCCAAAAGATGCACATTTATACAAGGATGTCTGTTCCACTCTGTTCATAGCAGCATTATTTGTAATAGCCAGAACCTGGAAGCAACCTGGATGCCCCTCAAATGAAGAGTGGATGGAGAAAATATTGGACATTTACACAATGGAGTACTATTCAGCGGGGGAAAAAACAATGGAATCTTGAAATTTGCAGGGAAATGGATGGCACTAGAAGAAACCATCCTGAGTGAGGTAACCGAGTCACAAAAACACAAACATGGTATGTATTCACTCATACATGGATTTTAGACATGGATCAGGGGAGTGCCAGTCTGCACTTCCACTTACAGAGTGTCTGGGAAACAGGAAAGAACAAAGAGAGATATGCATGGTACACAAGAGAAGAGGAATGAGGCAAGATGTCCTGAACAGATTCGGAGCATTGTGGGGTGTGGGGAGGAGTGGGAGCTGGGAAGAAGAGAGGGGAAGAAGAGGAGGAGAGAGTAGGTCATGGGGGAGCAGGAAGGTTGAGTTGGGGGAAGAATAGGGTGAGAACCGGATGTGTGAATTGGGTGGGGGCTGGGAGGCTGGTGGAGGAGCAAGGGAGGAGGGGAGGGAGAGGGAGCTGGGATTGACATGTGAAGCAAGCATGTTTCTAGTTTAAATAAAAATATATTATTAATATTAATATATTAATAAAACAAGAAAAACACAAAACTATAAACTATTACAAGAAAATGCATGAGAAAAATTTCATAGTCTGTGATTCAGCAAGATTTCTTACATGTAACAATGACAGTATGACTGTGAATGAAAAAAATTGATAAACTGTACTTCCTCAAAAATGTACATTTCGCCGGGCGTTGGTGGCACACGCCTTTAATCCCAGCACTCGGGAGGCAGAGGCAGGCGGATCTCTGTGAGTTCGAGGCCAGCCTGGTCTATAGAGCGAGTTCCAGGACAGCCTCCAAAGCCACAGAGAAACCCTGTCTCGAAAAACCAAAAAAAAAAAAAAAGTACAATTCACTTTATGCCATTAAAGGTTATTACATTTGCAAATAATATTTCTGATAAATAAAATACAACCAGAATATTTAATCTCTCAGTGTCCAGTGACCCAATTTAAATAGAAAAAAAGACTTCAAAAGAACAGAGAGAACAAAGAGACGAAATATGCTACCACTATATTGAGGGACACACAAATTAAGACCACCAATGAGACACCAGTGTACACCTATTTGAATGTCTAAAACTGAGGAAAAACACAATATCAAGTTTCTTTCTTAAGTGAATGAACTTGTTCTACCTACTGTCTTGTGTTAGCAAAATGCCTGAGACAGTCTGCAGGGAAGGAGAAAAGGTTCATTTTGGCTCAGAGTTTCATAGGTTTCATTTCATGGCCACTTGGGGTTGTTTTGGACTTTGGCTGTGCAACAGAGCTCAGTGGAGAAACAGTAGAACAAGGTTAGTGGCTGTCTTGGTATTCCCTGGCGGGAGGGAGGAGTGATAGCCTCCTTCCACCAAGCCCCGCCTACTAAAAGGCGCACTGGTTTTAACTAAGACAGAGCTCTCAACCCCGAGGAGCCGTTCAGAATCCAGTCTAACCCTCTCCAGGCTCAGCGGCTCTCATCCTCATTCACCATTCTCCTCCACACAGGCCGGGCATCTTCCTCATTTTAAACAGCGATTCCACGTCTGGTTCTGCTTCTCTCTTGCTTGCAGTGCTTTCTGCCTGAACTTTCCGTGGCTGGTTGTTTGCTCTCATTTGGGTATCTGACCTACAGTCCTCCTGTGCCCTGGTCCCACCCACGTCACGTTGTTTCATGGCCTCCACGGCGTTCTCAGAACTTCCTTTTAAATTGTCACACCTGCTTGCTACAGCGGACTGCGAGCTCCCCCGGAACAGGAGCTACCTTGGCCTGGGCATCCCCAGTCTGAATCATGTCTAACAAATATTAAGTCCTGGAAAATATTTCTGGAATTAGCTGACCAACTAGCTCCACATTATATTAAGGAAATGATGTACAGTTGCCAAGGCTGCGCTTCAGGAAAGAGCCCATCCTCGTGAGTCCATGGTGTGCGGTTAAGAGACTGAGTCCTCGGTTTTCAACTCCTAAGACCTCCTCGGTGCAGCCTCAGTTTATGTTATCATTCCCAAGGCATAGCTTATCTATTCCCCATGCTTTAGAAACCTAACAATAACATTACACGACTTACAGTCACACAAGAAATCTGCACGTAAATCATGATTTAACACAACCGCACAAGGAATTCTGTTTGCAAAAGGGCTTACTCATTTCTTAAACAGTCTCCTCCTTAGATTGGAGAAGTGTTCCCCCATCCACAGAACAGGGTACAGGTCTGAATCAACCCCTGGTGGAGAGAATTTCAAAGCTGAAAAGCAGCCGGGGACGGGTGGGGAGGGGGTGGGAGGGTGGACGGCAGCGGGGTGGAGGGGAGGCAGTGTAGGAGGACATCCTGAGGGTCGCCAGGGCAGACTGCTGGCTCCTGTTTCCTTCTAGCCTGCGGTGAGAGAACTCCTCTAGTTCCTGGGCCTGAGCCCACCCTCTGCCCACCAGGACACCTGTCTCAGGACTCACGGCTCTCATGTCCTGAAGCTGCAGCCTCCAGTTCCATCCTCTCAGGCTTTGGCATCCGGGCCAGGCTCCTCCAGGGCCCGGTGGCCTCACCCCGCAGGTCAGCCCTCAACCTCCTGGTTACCTGGAGCATCAGAGCCCTTGCCCCGTGGCCCTGGCTACTCTCAGAGTTCATGGCCACTGGCGCTGTGAAGACCCTCTAGGGTGCAGGGCTGGACTGCAAATGCACCCTGCAGGAACACAGGGTCGAGCCTGCTCCCTTGGGGCAGGTGGCTAGGCACAGGCCTTGGTTCTCCAACACTGCCCTGGCTTGAACTGGTCTGTGGAGCCCGCCTTTAGGCGTGGCATGTCAGGTACTAGGGTTTGGCTCTACACAAAAGGAAACGTTTCTAGAAATCTAAAAGCCCTCAGAAATTCCTAGTTCATGCTCCATCGAGTCTTCGTATGATTTTAAAATGCCTGGATTTGATTTATACTCAATACTCACTACTGGAAATTCAATATTAAATATTTCCTAACTGGGCTTCCAGAATTTCTTCCTGAAGAAAAAAAAAATGACTCGATTTCTCATTTGATAGTCATGAAATTATGTACTTTCCGGACTGACTCTGTTAAAAACTGAAATAACACAGAAACAGGACCAACAAATTCCGACTCACCAAATAAACTTCAAGTAAAAGAGTAAAATGACTTTAGTTTTCTGTTATGAACTTATGAGACATTCCTTTTTAATGTAAATTATATAATATTGGGGGTGGAAGATGATGTGGCGGTTAAAAGCACTCACTGCTCTTCAGTGAAGTAGAGTTTGGGTTCTAGCACCAGCTCTGGATACTTCACAACCATGTTCTCTATTAATGCTCTCAACAAGAAAAAAAAGCCACTTGGCAGCCTTTGATCCCAGCACTGGGGAGTCAGAGGCAGGTGGATCTCTGTGAGTTTGAGGCCAGCCTGGTCTACACAGCAAGTTCCAGGACAGCCGGAACTACACAGAAAAACCCTGTCTCGAAAAACAAACAACACAGCGATTTTATGCTCTACACCCTTGTAAAACTGTAGTGAGGCTAGCCCTCCTCCAGCACAGAACAAAAGACCCCACGCAGTACATGGCGGCAACTTTACTTCATGATTCTCCCAAGAGCTTGGACAAGAGGGAAGCATAATGTGATGTTTTCTTTGTCAACTAGCAAATGAATATCTCGGTGTGCTGATGGAAGGGCTGCCTTGTCGAAGGGCTCTTCCCTGTTCCTGTTGCTCCTTTGGTATCTCCTGCTGTAGGGCATCCAATTTCCAATTCTCTCTTCCCAGAACCATCTTTTCCCATCCCCGTTTTCAATGCTTTTTTTTTTCTCAGTGATTTCATCTGTCATATAGTTAGAGTTTGGACTGTCAGTTCCTCAAGGAATCTACTCTGATCACTCTATTCTAAAATATTATGAACACCCTCTCTGAATTCTCTCATTGCTGCTTTTTCCTCTATGGTAGTTGTGGGATGTAACAGGTATTGTTTACTTAGTATATATCTAACATTAAACATCACAAAGACAGGTTTCTCAGACTTTGCCCCTGCTATATATCCAATGCCTTATAGTAGAGTAGTACCAGGCTTGAGGCCAATTTATCAAATAAACATGGAACATAGCTCAGTCAGGTAACAGTTGCCAGTATTCAGTCCTAAAATCTTGCATTTCTCTTCTAATAGAAGGTTGACCAGCCAGGCCAATGAAGAACAGCTATGAATGAATGTGTCCTAGCCCCAAACTACAAACATACTTAAGATGTTTTGAAATTTACAACAATTTTTACTGGTTTCTTTTTTTTCCATCTGAAATGTGTGGTATGTATTCATATGCTTATGCAAGTTTTTCACATGTTATGTGCTTGTGGAGGCAGAAGTTGATGCTGAGAAATATCCTGGATTGCTTTCCCACCTTATTCATTGAGGCAACTCTGGCAGATCCTGGGCTTCCTGGACATGGCTAGAGTTGCTAGTCAGTTTGCTCAGGGGAGCTCCTGTGTTGTTGCAGATATTGCTATAAACCTCTGGGGTTGTGATCTATTACAGCAATGGAATACGCATATTAACATTCCTCCTGTATCAGCTAGGAATTATAGACAAGCTCTTGGTGGTAGAAAGAATATAGTAAGACAGTACAGAAAACAGATGCCAAATGTACAGGCTGTACAGAAGCAAGATGCTAGTGCCAAACCTACAGAGCAACCAAAAGCTCTACCATTAAAATGGCTGACAGATGAACCCGTCTGGGTGGGTCAATGGCCTATGACATCTGAGAAGTTAGAGGCTTTGGAGAAGTTAGTTCAGGAACAGCTAGATGCTGGACATATTGAGGAATCAACTAGTGCATGGAATTCACCTGTTTTTGTTGTCAAGAAGAAGTCTGGTAAGTGGAGAATGGTTACTGATCTTAGAGCCATCAACAAGGTAATTCAGCCTATGGGGTCTCTACAACCTGGGATGCCATTACCTTCTCTAATTCCTAAGGATTGGCCAATTATAGTTATAGACTTAAAAGATTGCTTCTTCACCATACCGTTACAAGAAAACGACAGAGAAAAGTTCGCCTTCACGGTACCTACCTATAATAATTCCCATCCGGTATAGAGACTCCAGTGGAAGGTACTACCTCAAGGTATGTTAAACAGCCCAACTTTGTGTCAATATTTTGTGAATAAACCTCTAGAAATAATTCGTAAAAAATTTCCACATTCGTTAATATACCATTATATGGATGACATATTACTGTCTGATTCAAATAAGGATACTTTGGAAAAGATGTTTGAAGCAGTAAAGGAAATTTACCTCGCTGGGGATTACAAATTGCCTCAGAAAAAATACAAAGAGGAGATTCTATTAACTATTTAGGTTATAAAATAGATGCTCAGAAAATTAGACCGCAGAAAGTAAAGATCAGAAGAGATCGTTACCGGACTCTTAATGATCTTCAAAAACTATTAGGAGAAATCTCTCAATTACAGACAATTATCGGTGTAGAAGGGCATGATTTAAAACACCTGAAAATGGCTTTAAAGGAGATAAAGACCTAAACAGCCCACTAGTACTATCAGCTGAGGCTGAAAAAGAATTAGAATTGGTAGAAAAGAGAATATTAGAAGCACACGTGGACCGTGTGGATCCAAAGCTGGACTGTATTCTGATTATTTTACCATATAGAGAATACCCCTCAGGAATATTAATGCAGAGGGAAGACATCATACTAGAATGGGTATTTCTGCCACATAAACAGAATAAAAATTTGAAAACATATATAGAAAAGGTCTCCAATTTGATATTAAAAGGTAAGTTAAGGCTTTGTCAACTGACTGGGAAAGACCCAGATGAAATTATTGTACCTTTAACGAATGAGGAAATTTCCTCCTTATGGAAGGATAATGAGTATTGGCAAATAGCTTGCAGTGACTTTTTGGGAACTATTAGTAATAACTATCCCAAAACAGAGAGAATCAAATTCATAAAGAAAACAATTTGGATTCTTCCACGTATCGTGAGGCAGACACCTATTTCTGGAGTTGTTACCTTCTACACGGATGCAAACAAATCAGGTAAGGCAGGGTATAAATCAGGAAATATAAGTAAAGTAGTTCAAAGCCCTTACAACTCCGTACAAAAGGCAGAATTATATGCCATTCTCATGGTACTTAAAGACTTTACAGAGCCTCTCAATATAGTCACGGATTCTCAGTATGCAGAAAGAGTTGTCTCGCACACTGAGACTGCAGAATTTGTTCCTGATAGTACAGAATTAACCCCATTGTTTTTACAATTACAGGAAACCATCAGAAACAGGACTCATCCTATATATATAACACACATCAGATCCCATACAGGTCTGCCAGGTCCTCTGGCACAAGGCAATGATGAAATTGATCGTTTATTAGTAGGTAATGTGTTAGAAGCTTCAGAATTTCATAAGAAACACCATGTTAACAGCAAAGGCTTAAAGAAGGATTTTTCTATCACCTGGCAACAAGCCAAAGAAATAGTAAGAAATCGCCCCAGTTGCTCATTCTACAATCAAACTCCATTACCAGCAGGTTGTAATCCTAAAGGTACTCACAGAAATGAACTTTTGCAAATGGATGTATTTCACTTCCCAGAATTTGGCAGTTTGAAATATGTACGCCATACCATAGACACGTTCTCAGGCTTCTAATGGGCTACTGTCCTCAGCTCTGAAAAAGCTGATTCTGTTATTACACACCTCTTAGAGGTGATGGCTGTTAGGGGTATACCTAAAACAATAAAAACTGACAATGCTCCAGCATATGTCTCCAGTAAATTGGAACAATTTTTCAAATATTATAATATAAAACATGTAACTGGTATACCTCACAATCCCACAGGACAAGCAGTGATTGAAAGGTCTAACCAAACCTTAAAAGAGATGCTTCATAAACAGCCAGGGAGAACAAAGACCCCTAAATACAGGTTACATAATGCTTTACTAATGTTGAATTTTCTTAATGCTGATGAAAAAGAACAAACTGCAGCAGAAAGACACTGGACTACAGAGAAGACTTCTGAACTGAACTAACCAGTGTATTTTAAGGATGTTATGACCTCAGTCTGGAAACCAGGATATGTGTTACGTTGGGGAAGGGGTTATGCTTTTGTTTCCACAGGAGAAGAAAAGCTTTGGGTTCCATCAAAATTAATTAAGATTCTATCTGAACAGAAGACATCTCAGGAGGAGGAAGATAACAGCTCATCTACAAATTCATATTCTACCATGGGTAAAGTGACCTCCTAAAAGGAAAGAGAAGTGTTTTGTTTTTTGTCTTCACAGGTAAACTCAGCAAAGAGTACTGGACATATAGATTCCTGAAGAAGAATGAATAGCTACCTTGAGGACCATCAAACAAACAGTAACTCACTGTGTGGTATCAAAGTCTAAATCTCTCTATATTGTTTTTCATAGTACCCTTTTATCTTTGTTTCTTCATATACTTCAGTCCCCATTCATTTAACTGAAGCTGGCTTTGGAGTTGGATTGGCTCTCCTACTCTAAATTCAAGCATATTATTTAAATAAAATTCAGAATTTCTGTATTATATCAAAGAGCCATTGATATAAGACAGAAGAAAATAAAATTAGGGACTGTTATCTGTGGATTTTTTTTCTGAAAAGTCTAATTTCCTTCATGTTTACCATCTTCCCTATTGTCACCTCTTCCAGTATGCATACATATAAAAGTTAAAATATTTCTTTGTTAACATTAATGTTTGAGTTTTCCAGAGAACAAGGGATTTCCTGACAGCAGTCTTCAACTGCTTCAGAAAGAGAATGAGGATCCACTTCCTTGACTTCACCTGATTCGACTGGAAGCATCTGAACTGCCCCACATCATTGACTCCACCTGACAAGCACTATATTGGCTTGAAACTACATCACTCGACACAACTCCGGACCAAGGAACTGAAACAGCCCATCTTCTACAATCTGGCCAGAGCTTCAGATGAGAGCTTCAATCAACACTAGAACCCCAGTCAGGAACTTCAATCAAGCATCTCCTGCCATACAGAGACTGTCTGATCTACTGAGATTTTGTTATACTAACATTTTTCTTCTCACATGTCCCCATGAGATTATCATCGTCCCATCTCAGCAGGAAGTAGTTTTGAGAATTCCACGCCCCCTCTCCCTACTATTGATATTATAGGATAGTTTACACCTGTTAGTGTTAGTTTCAATTATTTTAGAGTTGGGATTGGAAGGAGGTGTTCAGATTTGGGTGTTTCTTTCAGATAAGTTTAAGTTTAGATGGGATACATGTTTGATACATTTTGATCATTGACACAAGTTAGTTGTTTTAAGTTTAAATATCCTTTTTAGACTAAAAGGGGACTGGTGGTGGTGGTGCACTCCTTTATTCCCAGCACTGGGGAGGCAGAGGCAGGCAGATCTCTGTGAGTTCGAGACCAGCCTGGTCTACAAGAGCTGTCCAGGACAGGCTCCAAAGCCACAAAGAAACCCTGGATCGAAAAAATAAATAAATACAAATAAACAAACTAGTCAGATATAGACTAAAAGGGGAATTGTAGGAGGAAAACAATGCTGCCATTAACCACATGACTTACTAGATGCGCATACAGATGAGGTAATAAAAGAGCTGTTTACCACACCGCTAATCACACCCACTTTAGGCATGACTAAAGACGTATATGGACGGACGTAAAGACATATACCTATGTAGGTGGTGAACTACGTCACTAGCCAGGCCCACTTTTGGGCATGGCTAAGGGGCTTTACGGGGGAAGGTATAAAAGATTAAACAACAGAAGTCTTGCTCTCTTTTTTTCCGGCTTTCGGCTTCCAGTTCGGCGGCGGAAAACTACTCAGATCATCTGGGTTACCTGTTTGGTATCTTGTGAGTAATTTCTACAATAAATACTTAGTTTTACTTTCAGTAAGTGTGCCGTTTATCGTTAGAGCATCACTGTGTCTGACTTCTGAGGCTGGAATTATAGGCTACCAGGCCTACCTGGCATCGACATGCATTCTGAGGCCCAAACTCTGCCTCACACTTTCCTTGCAGACACATTAACTGGTAAAACATCTTCTCAGTCCTGACTGCGACTGCATGATTCTTGGGTGTGCACTCTGAAACTCACCTCGTGTTTCAATCTCAAAAGATCTGGGCATGCCTGGGTGTGTTCAAATACAGTAAGCTTTAAGTTCAGGTCTTCAAGGATTCTTTATCAAGAAAAGGAGGAGGAGGAGGAGTGGAGAAGGGGGAGGGGCAGGAGGGGGAGAGATGTAGCAGCATTACTTATCGATTCCTTTATTCTCCGGTCAGATGCTGTCTCCCCTAGAGTTCCACTTCACATATTTATCTCTTAAGAGTCCTTCCCTCACTGAGTAGAAACTGTCACCTGAGGCTGATTCTCCATTCCTGTGAGCAAAAATGTCTTAAGAAATTCAGGAAGCATGTAGGACAGAACTGCCATGATGACTCTATTCTACAAAGTTCTCTGGAGCCACCCCCTCCAGCTTGTTACTCCCCTGTTCTCAGATGTCCCCCCCCCAACTCAGGTGCAAGGTAGTTGTGTGTGTTTCCAGGAAGTGGGGCAGAGGGGAGAAACAGGAAGCCAAAGAGGATGCTAAAGCTTCCAAAAGAGGAAGGTTCTAGCACACTGCACAACGCTTCCTCACATAGCCACTGGCTACCCTTCAGTCATACATCTATACCTTGCTGCAAGGGTGTGTGTTGCAAGACTAAGAATGTGAGATGCTCTGCTGGACTCAAGTGGGTTCCTCTTGAGGTGCTGTGCGTTTGTGTCTGCTCAGTTACAATGATCACGGACACTGTGCCAGGCCATCACACTTGGGAATCAAAGATTCACGAGAAATAGCCCCACATTTCTACCAGCCTACAATCACACAGTGACAGATTAGCATCCACCTTAGGGATGAAGAGTTCTTCTGGTTTGTGCTCTGTTGCTACACAGCATGTGCTTCCTAAGGCCCACTGACCCTCCCCCACCATGTGAAAGCACTTTTCAATAGGCCCAAAGGCCCCTTCAGGAAAGGATGCCCTTCCTTCTGGGACTGGCCACTGTTTTGCGTTCCTCTTTCTTCATGAAGACCCTGAAGTATTATTTGCTGTGGTTTTCTGTGTGACTCTCTTATTTACCAGATTGTAAGCCAGTGTTAAGAGTGCCTTATCAACATTGCTACAAGGCAGGTGCCTTACATTTGTTATCAAGAGTTAGGACATTTCCAGGAAGTTTGATTGGTTAACATTACATAGCTTGTGCCAAGGTGAGAATATTTGCACCATAGATTTCATACACAGGAAGTCACTAGCCCCTCCTTTACCATTCCTCTCAAAATTGGAGTGTTAACAGCTTTTGAAAAAAAGCAACTCAACTTGTTATTCTGAAAACACGGCTTATGGTCAGTCTTTGAAAAGGCATTCAAGTTGACAGGAGAAGCTGAGGGAGCAGTTGGAATGCTAACATGTAGGCAACCAGTAAAGCTTCATAGAAGGAAAGAAATGGATCTTTACAAAAGGGCAAATGGAATTCGATAACATATTTGGGGTTGGCAGAGATAGAGTCAGAAATAAGGGGGGTGAGCTCACACATAACCATGATGAATAACAACATTTATGATGAGAACAGTTGGTGTCAATTGCTATCTTTCTCTTGCCTTTTATTTCCTATGTCTTTCATTGGGTATTACCTACATTCTCTTAACATGAAGTTCCTTCTTTAACCCAGCAACAGGGCTAGTACCATGTCTGTGTGGAAACTTCTGCCTCTTAAATAAGCTCTTGGACTGTACAATTCAATGCTAGCATTGAAAACAAAGCATTTCTGAGAGAATGGTCTGCATTTACAATTAACTTCCCATATGCTGCTTTTTGTATTGTTACAGAGGACTGAAATAAGATGTATATCCATAATGTATCTGAACAATAGAACAAAGTAAGAGAGACATCTTTGTCTTTCGTTAAAGAGACATGTAGGCGGAGTTTCTCTGTCTCCATAGCCACTCCCTTGTTCTCCCAGCATCCTCTGTGTCTTGCCGTCCCATCTATACCTCCTGCTTAGACTGGCCAGTCAGCCAATCAGAGGCGTCTTGACAAGTATACATCTTCACAGTATACAAAAAGATTACTTCATAACAGAGATGGTCGCAATGATATGCAATCACTAGGCCTGTTTGTGCTACTTGCAGTGCATTCTAATAATGACATGCCACAAACGAACAGGCCAGGCTCCTTGTCTGAGACTCCTTCAACATGTTAAAAATTTGAGATATTTTTTCTGTATTAAAAATAAAAGACAGAAAAAACTACCCTAAAATCCTTATCTTTTTATTCTTTATTCAAATACAGTTCTGATTGACATTTATTTTGCAAGCCAACTGTAAGGGTTACCTTGGCAGGTTCAGGTTGCTCAACTCCTAGATTTTGCAAAGAAAGACGTCTCTCTTCAGGACTGGCCTCAGAGCCCTTGGCCTTTAGCCACTTGATAAGAATGTTTCATATCCATGCCTTTGAGTCACACTGTATTCATTTGAAGAGATAGCTTATGTTGCCAACTAGCTCATGCTGGATGCATGCGTTCTGGAGACTGAGACTTTGGACCAGTAAGCTTTGGACAGTTTAAAGCTAAGGTCGCTTGGGATGACAGGAATGCCAGTCACAGACTTCAAGGAAAAATTCTGGGTTGGGCACAGGGTCTTGGTTGGCAATATTTTGTATGTGCTGACATACAGTACTTGTGGGAGAATTGTGTATACTTCCTATGTCTCCCATGGGAGCATGAGGCTTTACTGATGCCACCATGCTGTCTATCAGACCAAAGGTTGTGCATATACAGAAAAGCATCCTACTTCTAAGCCACATCTAGCTTCTTTGCTTTTTTTGCTTTTTTATCTTTTTACTTTTACAAACTGTAATCTTGAACTCTTCAGTTTTCTGTTGTGTTAGTCCTTCTAGCAAATAATCAGACTTACGGGCACCTAGGGACTCCCAGCACAGCTAGTTTGTGATCAAATTTAATTTTTCTCTGAAAGTTATTAACTATAAAAGGGCCATTTATTTAACAGCCAATACTTTTCATGCTAGGTTATTTAAAACATGCTACTGTTTTACTTTATTAATTGCTGCATAAAATTTAGCATCTACTTATCTCTCTTTCTCTTCTTGAGACAGGGTCTCAGAATGCAAACCAGGCTGTCTTTGAACTTGGGATTGTCTTGCCTTTGCCTCCTTAATGTTGGTAATAAAAGTGTGTGCCACCAAGCCTGTTTACCAATTTCTAAGGGGTTTTGAATATATTGTACTTAAGAGTATAACATGTAGGGGCGGAGGTTAGCTTTAAATAGTCATTCTTCCTGTTCATGAATAAGATTGTTTCATTTATTTACTTGTACTATTCATCTAGTTCCTAAATCCTTGAACATTTTTCCTTCTGAGGTACCTCACAGATCCCCGTGATAAACAAGATCAGTTTGAGCCGGGCGGTGGTGGTGCACGCCTTTAATCCCAGCACTCGGGAGGCAGAGGCAGGTGGATCTCTGTGAGTTTGAGGCTGGGCTGGACCGACAGCCTCCAAAACAATACAGAGAAACCCTGTCTCGTAAAAACCAAAAAAAAAAAAAAAAAAAAGAGATCAGTTTGGTTCTATTTTCTAATTGGTTATCACTGATTTATAGAAATAGTATTGATTTTACAGACAGAACTTTATTGAACTCTGAAAAATTGTAGATTATTTAAAAGTAGGCAAGTAAGCTAAAAATAAGCTTTCTCTTAAAAAATAATGTAGGTAAACACACTGACCATATAAAGTTTCATTTTCATTGTTCCTACTTTTTACTCACTTCATTTCTTAAACTGACTAAAAATCAACTTGTTTTCAAAAGTGATTATTCTCAAAGTGAATAATAATACCTCTTTGTAGTCTAAAGTTCCCTGACCAGGTGACATTATGGCTAAGACCATGTGTATAGTTTTTTGTCATTCAGGATTTCTTTCCAGTGAAATGCCATTTAAAGACCCCTGTATCACTTTATACTGACTAATGTTCTTCTTGAGTCTCAATTAAGAATCGATTTAACATTCCAGATGTTAGCTCCCACCCCACACCAATACTAGATTCATGTGTTGCAAACATGTTCTTCCATGATTTGATTCTCTAGGGTCCTCATTTATTATGTCTTCTAAGTTTCATTATGTTCCTAAAAATGCTTCAAAAACTTAAAAAATGCAAGATAAAAACATTATAAAGGATATGGGAGAAGTCCAGACCGAGAAAACAAAGATTCGATTATCAGAGAAGATTAGGTATGCAGAGAAATCTGGGCGTGCAGCAAGCAGAAGCAAGTCAACAACAGTGTTCCTCTATAGTGCTGCCTCCAGGCTTGACCTGGAAGTGCTGAGCAGCCAGTCTATGGACAACCAGGTGGCAGATGGCCTGTGGAAGAGGATGGTCTAAATAATGAAACTAATTCAAGGCATGATTCGAAGTTAAGAAGACACACAAAGGAGTGTGGTGGCTGTGGAAATTGCATGGGGCTGGAGAGGTCAAGATAAAACTTTCTGGCTTAGGAGTCTTCTGGTGAGGAAGCAGTCATTTCTCTAAGAAGCCCTCATTTCTCCTGCTGACAAGGGAATATACCACCCTGACTGATGCTCATACACCACCACTCTTGCACCTAAGGCTCAGAGAACACTGTGGAAGATGGGGTGGTAAGACTGTAAGAGCCAGAGGACCAGGATGTCTTCCATACATGACAGGGAAGCTATATCCACACAATCTCAACAATATAGTCATCTAAGACCCACACAATGACAATGCGTGGGGGAAATGTGGATGGGGAAAATCTCACAAGGCTCCGTCCTAGATAAAGAGCTACAAGTAACTAATGGCTGCTAAAAGAGGATCAGTCTTCTCTAGGGCCAATCCTTGTTAAGTAGTCAGCCCTACACATAGACATATGAGCTGTACTAGATGGACTCAGCAGGTTCTATACATGTAACAGTGTGTGTACACACATGCGATAATAATGATCCTTAAAGCATTGGTAGTGGAACCAGGATGTATCCCTAGTGCACGAACTTCAGGAGCCCATTCCTCATGGAGGGATACTCTCTTAGCCTAGATACAGGGGGAGACTTAACAGGCTTTGATGATCCCTCATGGAAGGCTTCACCCTCCCTGGAGAGTAAATGGAGGAGGGGATGGGGAGGTTAGTGGTGGGGCATGGCAGGATGGGAGAGGGAACTGGGATTGATATGTAAAACAAGACTGTTTCTAATTTTAATACAATTCATAAAGAAATAATAATTTTAAAAGAGGTCATGAATTTGAGAGTGATTGAGAGGGACACAGGAGAAATTGGAAGAGTAAGAGAAGAAAGCGATGTAAACACATTACACATGTAAGAAACTCTTTAAGGTTTTAAATTTTTATTTAAAATATATTTATTTATTAAATATATATGATGGCATTCAATTAAATGGCAAGCCTAACTGAAAATAATTTATTATTTAATGTGGAAAATAATAAAAATAAACTTCAGATCGGAGAAAACAATAAATACAGTAATATTTATTTTTAATACATTAAATCAGTTTCACTGAATTTAATTTTATAAATAATTTACATAAGTAAATCACAATCAATAACGAAAACACCACAACTTTGGAACTGTCATAGTGTGGACAATCAGGTAAGGGACTGGCATGTGAGCAAGCTTCCAGCCCATCCTTGAACAGGCTGGAAATTATAAGTCAGGCCACGACTGTGGCAAAGGCTTTGCAGAGCCCTAAGGAAGCTATCCCTCAAATATTTGTGCACTCTGAATGCACTAATATGTTCAAAGACCAAACTATAAGAAAAAAGATTCAGTTCTCTTTTTCCTTTTTTTTTTGCTTTTCTGACACACAGTTTCTGTGTAGCCCTGGCTTTCCTAGACCAGGTTGGCCTCAAACTCAGAGATCTGCCTGCCTCTTACTGCTGAGTCCTGGGATTAAAGGTACCACCACTGCCTGGCAAGATTCAGTTCTTAAAGCAGTAGCAAAAGGGGCTTTTGATAAGAACTTGTGGGTGGCACCATGTTCAGAGTAACTCTTTAACTGCTGCAAATCTTTCTTCTTTCACAAGTCTTAACAAAGATGCGACAGACATGTCACTGAGGTCAGTGCTATGTTTTCTCAGGCACGCATCTTCTGAGTCGCACATTTTCTCTTGAAGAGTAGAATGAAAATCAAATGACTATACAACTTATCTTGTCTACTACAGATTTGTAGCAAGATGAACATATTTACCAAGAGATGAAATACTGCTATTTAAAGTACTGAGTTAAAAAAACAAACTATTTTGAATTGTACACTAAAGATTTCTTGATGTGAACCAAGTGCTTATTTATAAGATAAAAGAATTGTAAATAAGGAAAAACAACTAACAATAGTTTGAACAAGTCCTTCAAACACAGACAATACTGTGCATTGCTTTCGTGAAGGTAACATGTGTACCCGTGCTATTTCTGTTAGACAAATGTTCTTCGTAGACCTCCTGGTTAAATCTAACTACAAATGCTCACAGAATACTTAATTAGACACAAGAGCAAGTACAGCAGCATCCAATGGCACCACGGTGGCGAAGCACTAAGATGTTCATGCTGAAACCAGTGCACATGACTCAGTCCTCTTAAGTATTTTATGCTCATTATAGATTAACACATCATCTTCTGACCTCCCGCTTACTTTTATTTTAAAGTGGTCTTTAACATGACTGGTTTCCAATTGATATATATTGAAAATGAAATCGTATGGTTATTAAGGGAAATATAAAGAAATAAGTTAATATGCAGTCTACATTCCTTTAAAAGGTCATATGGGGAGATATTATTGCACTTGTCTTCCCTAGATGAATCTTAAAATGAGGAAGAATAAATACACTGGTTATAAAACTAAAAATTCCAATAAGAATGTTGATAAAATGTTCAAAGTTCATTTAAAAAATATATCAAGGGTGTGTCTGGGACTTCGGGGTTTTGCTTTCTTCGATGTAGAACACTTTGTCCTCTGTCTCACCCTGGAATGAGAAAGAATACATAATTTCTATGTAGAAGGAAATACTTGAAAATAATTTTGCAAAAATAGTTCTTACAATGTTACTTGGTTAGTTATTAAAGCAAAGTTAAGCCCCTTAAACTCAGACTAAATATGAGTTTGTGGTTTTCTTTACTGAAGTTCAAGATAGTCATACCTTTTTGTCCTTCTTGCAGCCTTCTGAAGTCTGTCTATAAGGCAAAGAAAGCCAAGAAATTCCATGAGGAAAAAGGTAAAATCATTGAAAAGCTTCACAAAAATTAAAGAGACAAAACTGACAGATTAAAGATAATATTATACATATCCCAAACAAATTTTCAGAATATTGTATTACATTAATGAAATTAGTGCTTCAGTGTCAGTTCTTTCCTCCCAACATGTGGTCCAGAGACCAAAATCAGGTTGAAAGGCACCTGCCCCCCCCCCCCCCATACTCCAGTCTCATAGGGTTAATCTCATATTATCGTTTCCTTAGAATTCATTAATTCCACTGGCATTAAACTTAATTTCTGCAATCCTGCTACAGTCAGCAATACAAAGAAACAAGTGGAAGGCTTCCTGTCTCTGTAAACAGCCAGTTTGTCATTGTGCACTAGCAGATGTTCCCGGAGGGACTTTCTTTTGTTTAGATCACTTTGATCCTTCAACTTTTAACTTCATTCTACACTAAATCAAAACTAAACTGGGGTTTCCTCTAAATTCAAAAGCTCAGTTTGAGATATTTCTAGACATAGGAAGGCAGAACTAATATTTTCCTCAATGAGAGCAAATCCAAGCTACCCTTTTAATAGTATTTTAAAATTAGGTTTCAGTAAATTTTTTTTTGGGGGGGGCGTTGAGACAGGGTTTCTCTGTGGCTTTGGAGGCTGTCCTGGAACTCGCTCTTGTAGACCAGGCTGGCCTCCAACTCACAGAGATCCACCTGCCTCTACCTCCCGAGTGCTGGGATTAAAGGTGTGAGCCACCACCGCCCAGCAAGTTTCAGTAATTTTAATAAGACATATACGTAGAAAATCACATTCCTCTTATTTTTTTAAATTTAAGTGCACTGGTGTTTTGCCTACATGTATGTCTGTGTACCGTGTGTGCCTGGTGCCTGCACTGAATCCCCTGGAACTGGAGTTACAGATGGTGTGAGCACCATGTGGGTTCTGGGGAAGACCAGCAAGAACTACTTACTCCCCCCCCCCACCACATTCCTCTTAATAACTGCAAACTCACCAGCACTTCTGGAGCTTTCTTTGGGTTGGCTAATTGAATTAACTTCATTATTCCTCAGTTCTTGGATAATGCCTTTATTTAAGCAAATATCCACATGCACATTGAATAGGGTAAGGTCAGAAGTCTTCTGTTCTAGGTTACAAACAGGACAAACTAGAGCTTGTCCTATTACTACCTCATCTGTACAGGGCCGGATGGATTCTTGCTCACTTAATACTCTGACGGCTTCAGCTTCATTTGTCAACGAAATAGGACAAGACTGGTTTGGCGAATCAGAATGTTCCTCTTTGCTGTGATTAGTTCCTAAAGTGTCCATACTTGCTGCTTTCAATGAGTTGTCTCCAGTCTCTACCAGATCTACACCATCTACTGATGTGACTGCTCCACCTTCATAATCCCGTTGCTCATGTAGTGGGATAGAATGGTGATGGTGTGCGTCTTCCTTCTGACCTGCAACTGCTGAGGAAACATATGAGTAAGAGGGCATTTTCGAGTTCTCACTGGTGGATGGTCCATCAAGACATGCATCTACATGTTCGTTAAAGGCTTCCAGACTGACACCTTCCTGATCCCTAAAGCAAACGGGACACGTGAATGTCTGACAGTTACTTGAATTCTTTGATGTTTCCAGACTCTCACTCATCTTCTTTAAAACTTGGAATGACTGTGAGGTCTGCAAAGCTCGCTGATCCACAGCTTCACATCTGGATCCATCTTGATGGTTCGAGATCCTCTCTGATCGCTTTTTATCAAAGAAACTCTTCTTATGAGATATTTCTAAAGGCTTTACAAACTCAATTTTGTCGGTTCTGTCCATAGTACACCCAGGAGATGACAAAGCATGCTGTCCAGCTTGTAAGAAGCCAATAATGCCCCTTTGTTGGTGCTTCTTGGCATCTTTGTTGGAAAAAGTAGACATCCGAACACCTAAACAAAATCAAAACTGTATAAAGACATTCACTCCCAACACAAATAAAACAAAACATTTCACATAGTATTATTATGACACATAGGAAAAGGTAGCTAGAGAGAAATAAACACCTCTGTAGATGTACAGACACAGACACATATACATTTTTTTTTAATGTTAAGGTTTGGACCCATACATAAATAAGTCTTTGGCATGTTAGGCATATAATTTACTGTTTAGTCACATTCCCAGACCAATATTTTCCAAATTAAAAGATACTTTTCAAAGATGATTTGAAGAACTCACTTTGCTTTACAAAATTTGGTATCAGTAAATGTTAAGAATCTATTGGGGGCTGGGTAGTGGTGGTGCACACCTTTAATTCCAGCACTCAGGAGGCAGAGGTAGGCAGATATCTGTGAGTTTGAGTTCAGCCTGGTCTGTAGAGCTAGTTCCAAGATAGCCAGGGCTAAACAAAGAAACCCTGTCTCAACCCCCCCACTCCCCAAAAAAAGAAAAATGGAAAAAAATCTATTGGAGTTGGTATGATTATGTAGAACTTTCAATAATGTTCACATGGGATGCCATTAAATAGAGAATAATTAACTGGAGTCAACAACAGAGACTTTTCAGCTCTGATTTCTTTCAAAAGACTTCACTTTTTAAGGAGTGTTTTATTTTTACAACATTGAACACAGAATTCTCATATGCCCTCTGCTGTCATTCACACACAACTTCTGGTACTGTACTGACACAGCACTATCGCCCAGAGTCTATAGTTTACTTTAGAATTTACTCATGGTAGTGTTCATGCTATGAGTTTAGGTGTAGTTATAAAGACATGAATTCACCATTATAGAATCATACACAGTTGTTTCACTGGCCTAAAACTTCTCTGCTTTCTCTATTCGTCTTTCTTGTCTTTTTACTATCTCCAAAGTTTTGCCACATAGCTGGAATCATGCAATAGTGGCTTCTTTCACTTAGCAATATTTACTTTTCCTCTGTGTCCTTTTGTAGCTAATTATACCAAACATTATCCCATTGTCTGGTCATACACAGTTTATCAATCCACTTAAGTATACCTTGCTTGCTTCTAGGTTTTGCAATTATGAATAAAGTTTCTATAGATACTTGCTTTTTGGCTCTTTTTACATTATTATTATTATTATTATTATTATTATTATTATTATTATTGCTTCTGCTTTTCAAGACAGGACTTTTTGTGTAGCAATTGCTCTCCTGGAACTCACTCTATAAAACAGGCTGGGCTCAAACTTACAGAGGTCTCTGCCTGCCTCTGCTTCCCAAGTGCTGGGATTAAAGGCATGCACCACCATTGCCCGACTATTTGGTTATTTTTTAACATACTTGATTCAGTGGTTTCATTGCATGCCATCTCTCAAGTGTGAAAGTAAGACTAATGACCCACTCTTAGCAATCTTATAGTTCATTTGGAAACATGGCTTTCTAGTTTCTTTCCAATAGGTGGTAACTGGTAGTGTCGTTTCACAGTATCATAATTTTGATCTGTAATTGTGAAATCCAAAATTTCTGAAAATTGCAGCACAAAGTGATTAAAAAAAAGACTAAACTGACATGATGTTATCTAGTATCCCCACAACGTAAAGAACAAGTTTGTTATTGTTTAGTGACAGGACTATCCATGTGTTTCATCATGTTATGGTGTACTCAATACCCAATAGAGTATTACAGAATAAAATGAAAATGCCCTGGATTTGTTTCCCAACTCTGTTAAATTTTGAATTTGGAAATACTTTGCCTGAGGACTTCAGAAAAAAGGATGAGAACAACTCTCATTGGTCCAGACAGAATTACAGTCATACTCTGACTATACATCTGGGTCTAGGAATTATAATCTACAGCAGCAGAGTAAGAAGTTCTTTAACAGTTTTAAGAAACAAATGGAGGGAAAACAATCTCCCAAGTTGACTTTTTTTTTGGTTAGGGAGAGGATATTAAACATACAAGGGAAAAAACAAGAAAGAGAGAGGAGGCCTACCCATCAACCTTAGCCTCAGGGGATGTGGGGAAGCCACGTTCACTTCTGTCCTCAGCAGTTCCTTAGCAACCGCAAATATTTCTTTTGCAGTAGATAGAGTGAATGGAACTGTTGACGCGCGAGTTTTCACTTCAAAATTCACGTTCTTCAGCTTAATAGTGACAGTTCTCCCCTACAACACATGCAGCACATTAACATGGCAGGATTCGGAACTTGTAGAAAAAAGTTTATTACAGGTTAGAAAAGTTACAAAACTTGGTCATGTAAACTGTCATAATTAAGATCCCTGTCTGAAAAATAATTACTAGTCCCTTCCTCAACCAACTGAAAATACTTTTCTATGAAGGGGAAAGCTAACTAATCACCTTTACATTTACTGTATGTCTCCCTAAGGCTAATTCAGCATTGGAAGCCAGGGAAAATGCATAGCTCACACTTACTGCACGGCTACCACATGACAGAGTGCTTGCTCCTCTAGAAGTTTGTACGGGTCATCTTTACAGCGAGTGTCTCGAGGCCATGAGGTTCCAGTTGGGGGAGGACTGATGACATTTTAGTATTTCCTGGGGGGTTACGGTAACTGGCAGCTGTTCCCTGTGAGGCGGGGTCAGCTTTCTGACTCATTTCCTGACTCATTTCAGAACCAGTAACTTGAGGCTGGAGAAGCCTGTCAAACATTCCCTTAACCAGGTGAAGGCTGCAACAGGAAATGATGGGAAGGCTACTTCACATTTGTGGCATTCTTTCTAACCACCTAAAACCTACAACACAGGACAGCAGCATTCTGTAGGGTATGTGTCCCATGGTTCTCCAGACTGGGTTTTATAAATAAGAGGGAAAGGCTACCAAACTCAAGACAAACGAGGGAGATAGGACACTAATCACCATGTGGTTCTCTGGAGAGGAGTTAGTAGAAAGACAAGAGCAATCCAGATGCAGTCTGAAGCTTGGTTAACAGCAAGTGCTAATGTCACTTTTCTAGTATGACACAGATCTAGGAATTGTTTAGCTCTCAAATGAGGAAAACTTCCCCAATTAAGAAAAATGGGTAAGAGGTAATGACGGAAATCGCTATGTTCTTTTGGAAACAGTCCTATAAATCTGAAATGATTCTAAAATTAAAAGTGTATTTCAAAAACTTCTCAAAAAGAACTATTTTACACCCATGGTAGAGAAGAGCTAGAAGTAAAAACGCTCCTCAAATATGTGAATTTTTTGCAGTAACTTTTTAATACTATTTATTTATTATACTTTTTAATAACTAATCCTGGTTTGAGAAGATTGAGAAAATACTAAATGTGGAGTGTTCTGAAGGAAGATTACACAACCAACAGTTCAGGACATTCTAGGCTTCTGTTCTCAAGGTGTTAGCCAGGATCAGAGCCCTGAAACACCATGCAGGTCATTGTGGGCAAACCCTCCCAGGATGGCTGGAGAAGGATTTATGATAGGAGGATACAGCCGTGAAAAAATCCTTTCCTTTGCCATTCAAGTTTGATCTGGCACCTAACTCAAATAGAGTGTTAAGGGCACAAAGCTGCCCTATCACCCTGGAACCATCCCAGGGTTACAAGGTGTCCTTCATAGAGTGATCTTATCACAGACCTCACTCAGAGGTCAGACTCAACTCTGTTTATGATTGCTGGGGATAGGGATATTCTATTTTATTTGTATCCCACTTTAATAAATGTGTGGTCTCTTGACTTTGAGTAGTATCCTATAATGAAAGAAGCTAAAAACTAAAATCATTCCATAAAAACGCAGTACCTTCAGTCCTTCCTTCTGGAGATCATGAGCAAGTTCAGTGCATAGTTCCTGGCATAAGCTGTACTGTTCTTCTGTGTTACTTATTTCGCTGAACGTCCTAGAGAGACAAGAAGGAGTTTGGTGCATAATATAAACTACAGCTGAATAGTCTGGTGATGATAAAGCATATTCAAGTAGCCCAGCATTTTATTTTCTTCAGTAAAATTGAAGTTTTCACATCACCTAACACATAACTAAGTAAAAATATCTGTAATCTATATAAATGATCAAAACCACTTAGACAGGTACACATATCAGCAAAAAAATCCCACAATTTTATGCTTTCTCTTTTTCTAGACATGATCTCACTTTGTAGCCCTGGTTGGACTAGAACTTTCTGTATAGACCAGGGTGCCCTTAAATTTACAGAGCAAGGATTAAAGGCATGTATACCACAATGCTCAGTTCTTCATTCATTTTTTTTAAAATGGCATATTGGTGCTTTCTTATTATGAGTTCTTTACATATTAGAGAAGCTAACACTTTATATGTGATTGTGAACTGGGACATTCCTCCCTAGTTCCATACCAAATTCCATACCCTAATGTGTTTTTGAAAATC